GACCTTCGCCCGGGGGAGGGGGCGGGCCGGGGTAGAGAGCATGCGGGCGGGGAGAGGGTGTGCAGGCTCGGAGAAGAGGGCGTTCGGGCCAGGGACCGGTGTGCATGCCTGGAGAGAGGAGGGGCGCGGACTGAGGGAGGGGATGGCAGAGCAAAGATAAAGGTGGTGCAGGCCGAGGGAGGGGGGTTAAGGGCCCTAGGGAGGGAGGGCCGTGGGGGCTGGGCATAGGAGTGGAGACAGGAAAGCCTTTATTGACCGTAAGAGTCTCATCCTGGGGAGAAGGCGAGTGTGTGTGTGTATGTGTGAGACAGAGGGAGAGAGAGAGGCACTGACTCTGCGTGTTGTCCTGAGACTATGGCTGTCTGTGAATGTGTCTGTGTATGTCAGTGTAGGTCTATGTGTGGGTGTATGTGGGTGGCCTTCTGTGGCCTTCTCTTTGCTTGTGCGTGTGTGTGCACATCCTTCACACACACGAACACAAACACACACTCACACACACTCTTATTCAGAGAGCCTTGGTCTCTCTGTGTCTCTGTGGGGTTGTATCTTTCTGGGTCTCTGGTTGTGTCTAGTCTTTACCTGTCTCTGTGGGGGGGTATCTCTGGGTGACCACCTGGGTCCTTCTGTTTGGTGTTGTGTGCCTGTTTGCCTTGATATCAGTCCATGGGTGTCTCTGTGTGACGGTGCCTTCCTGGTGTCCACCTGTGTCTAGTCTTTTCCTCTGACTCTGGGTGCGTGAGTGTGGGGGCGTCTCTCCAGAGGTCTGCCTCTGTGGGTGTCTTTCCCTCTGTGCGTGTGTGTCTGCCTGTGTGTCTGAGTGTTTCTTGGTGTTTGTGTGTGACTCTGTTGGGGTGGGTGTATGTGTGTGGGTGCATCTGGTGTGTGCCTTCCAAAAGTGTGTGTGAACGACAGTGTGTAACCTGGACGAGTGAGTCTAGCAGAGCCGCTGCCTTCTCACCCACATCTCTCCTAGCCTTGCCATCCCCCCCGCCACCGGATTCCCTGGCTCCTTCCTGTCTTCAGAGCCATATCTGGTCTACAGAAGGCTCTGGGGGGGTGGAGGCTTAGGAGGGCAGGAAGTGTGTGTAAGTGACAGGATGTGGGGCCAAGGGGGCGCTGTTTCTTCTTCCACTTCACATAAGGCCTTCTTAAAGGGAGGTCAGAACCCCTGAAGGATGTCCATCTTCTACTCTGTTCTGACCAAGGAGGTATTGATTTGTTCAGGGAGCATGTGTCAAGTCAGTGCTGTTCTGGGCACTTTGCTGGAACTACCTCATTTACAGGCCTCCCAATAACTCTGAGGTAGGGACCATTCAACAGATGGGGAGACTAAGGCTTGGAGACTTTAAGGGAATCACCCAAGGCTACCTCCTAGGCTTCTGGGTTCCAGAGCTCCCACAGTTAATCTCCAGACAAGTGAGAAATCCTATTTTTCTTTTCAGCTCAGTTGAGACAAAGTTGCAGGGGATTTTCCCCAAGAGAATCTCCCCTTAGAAACAATGAAAATGAAAGAAAGGAAGGAAATGCCAGAAAGCTCAGAGGACGAAGAGGAATGAGGAAGGCACTGGCTTTGTAGCCACAGACTGAAGGCCAAACAGTTTGATGGTCCCCAGCCCTCTGCTCCTGGACAAGTCACGTCTAGAGCCACTTTATGGTTTTTGGGATGCAGTTTGCCTTCATGGGCTTCTTGCTCCATTAAAAAAAAAACACTAAAAGTATTTTGTGATTTCATTGCTATAAAGACAAATATAATCCAGGCTAGATTAGATTCACCTTTTTTTCTTATGGTTATAAAAGAAATTAAGACATTCTCATGGGCCCCTGAAGGTATCGTGGGCCCCAGGCTCTGTGAATGCTGGTTAACTTGGCCCTGGTCATGGTTGCAGTCCAGGAAAAGGAGCCAATGTTGACCTCATAGGTCAGGGGAGAGAGTCAGAGGCCACTAACCCATAAGGAATACATTTTTTAAAATTAAATTCTTTTTCAGTAATTATGATAGTAATATGAGGTTGCTGCACCCAGGAAAACAATTCAAAGGAATAAAATGAAAAAAAAAAAAATTAGTAACCCTTTCCTTCTCTTTTCATTCCCACTCCACATTCTGGAGGCTCCAGCCTGGCCTCATTCCACAACCTTCCCCAGGCTCAAAAATGCTTGTTTGTTTGTTTTTCCACAAAGGGGCTGAAGTTATGCATAAAACCATGTAACTTGCTTTTCTCACTTAATGAACCACACACATTTCAATAGATGCAGAACTAACTCCAGCTTTCTGGAGCTGACTCGATATTTCATAGTATGAAGGCCCCACCATTTATTTGACCCATTTCTTTATTGATGGGTATTTATTTTGTTTCCAGGTTTATTGTTGTTGTTTATTTTATTTTATTTTTTTGTCTCTAGCAACAGTGCTAAAATAAACATCATTTTTTCTGTGTATAACATTTTACACGGAGCTTTTATTGCTATGGGCAGATTCCCAGGAATAGGGTTGCTGGGTTATGGAGATAGTATATTGCCAGCTCACTTTCTAGAAAAAGGTTGAGTAACTCAGTTCCTTCACCAGTGTGTGAGAGGGCCTGTTTCCTTGCATCCTTACTGGTGTTAGAAGTTAGCGCATTTATTCATTGAACTCAATGTTTAGGCATCTCCCATGTCCTAGATGCTGGAGATAAAACCCAAAAATGATCACCCCTGCTCCCTGAGGGGCTTATGTTCTGGTGGAGGGAAGACAGATGACAAACTTGAAAACAAATATTAAAAAAAGACAGTTGTCCATAATAATGTGTGCTGTGAGAAGATAGAGGAAGAGGGAGTTGTTGCTTAAGCTCAGGGCTTCTCTAAGAAGGTGACATTTGAACTGACCTTGAGGTGTGGCCAGCCATGGGAAGAGCATTCCTGGCAGAGGGAACAGCAGATGCAAAGGCCAGTGTGCCTGGGCCGAGTGTAGGATGGTGGAGGGGGCAAGGCCATCAGGGACAGACTATAATGGCTGCGTTGGTAGCAGTGATGGGTGTTTTTGATGGTGGGGGAAGACCCTGGAGAGTTTTAAGCCAGAGGATGTTTTTACTGAGTGCTTATGGCAGGCCTGGCATGGTGCCTCTGAGTTTATAGACTTTAAGTGGTAACCCACAAGTCCACAGCTTTGTGATCCTTTCATTCTCTTGAAAAAATAAATTTCATTTTATTTTTCAGCCTTGGCACCACTGACGTTTGGGACCTATCATTCTTTGTTGGGGGAGTTGGGGCAGCTGTCCTGTGCATTGTAGAATGTTGAGCAGCATCCCAGGTCTCTACCTACTAAATGCCCATATCATACCCCCCTCCCCCAAACTGTGACAACCATAAATGTCTCCAGACATTGCCAAATGTCTCTGGGGGTAGGGGCAGGGGATGTAAGATCATCCTTCTCTGAGAACCACTGGTGTAAAGGTTTCTGCCAACTTGGCCTTATATATTTCCCCCTACAATTTGAATCACTTAGCTTTTTGCATGTGAAAGTTGGGGCCATTTGGCCTCAAAAACATCCTTCTTTTTGTGAGTGACTTATTACACTTTAAGAAGCGTCAGAATCGCCTACAAAACTTGTTTGGAAATATTGAGTCTGCGGCCCCACACAGATCGTTTAATTCAGAGGTTCTGGGCTGGGGTCCAGGACTCTACATTTTGAGTAATAATATATGAATAAGCATTCTCAATGATGCTGGTACTTTGAGAAACTGCGCAGTGGCTGAAGGGCTATTGTATAGGGGAGGGCTAGGGATTTTTTGAGTGATCCCAAGAGGTTGGAGATTTAGGGAGGCACATTTCAGGCTATAGCAGAAGGAATACTTGTTTCCATTCAGAGGCATTTGTGGCGCAGGTAGTGAGTTCCCCGTCAGGAGAGGCATGCATGTCCTGGCAGGTCATCATGGAGCCAGGACATGAGCCAGCATGTCTCAAACTCCAAGAATTTGCCCTAACCTGTGCCAGCTATCCTATTTTTTCCACTTTATTTTTTATTAAAATGGGTTTCTGACTTTTTTTTTTTACTTAAATCAAGTTAGTTTAAAAGGACACTCTGTGTGTCTACTAAAAATAGAAGCTGAGCATTGCTTTAGAAAGGTAAACAAAGATTAGATCTAATGAAAGTAAAGCCAGTTATTTCTAATGAGATAGTATGGTCTGCCTAAGTTTGGGGCCTGAATCCTGCTTTTCTGTTGTTCAAAGGGGAGAGTAGGAGGGGCTGGGGGGATATTAAGACACACTAGCAGCCACTGAGAGTTTCTCCTGAGCATGGAAGATGATCGAACCAGGATGCGTTCTCCTGGGGTGAATCCACCTCTGAGAGTCCCTGGGCAGCTGTTTTCCACTCTTTGGAATATAATCAATAGTAATAATAACAGTGGGTGTTTATTGAGCTCTTACTGTGTGCAGGGCATAGCTCCAAGTTCCTTACATGTATACTTAGTCAAACCTCACATTAGCCCCATGAGGTCTGGGAGAAGTGCCCAAAGGGTCTGGGAGCGATGCTGGGGTATCTGGTGGTACCTTGGTCCAGCATTCAGACCCAAGGAGGGGATCTGGGAAGGGCACCTGGGAGAAGGCAGGGGGTTGTGTGGCCCCCAGCAGCCCATAGGAATGTGTGTGTGTGCATGCATTTGGGAGGCAGCAAAGCCTAGTGGTTAAGCATGTGGACCCAGACATACTGTGCCTGACTCCAGTCCCAGCTTTGTAATCTTGGGTGAGTGGCTTCTCTCTTTGGGCCTCAGTTTCCTCATCTGTGAAATGATGTCGATAGAAGTAGTGCTCACCTTCTAGAGTGGTCGGAGGATTACATGAGACATTTATCAAGTGTCTTGCATGCAATATTCGCTGTGGATGTGTGTGTCTGTCTGTCTGTCTCTCTGTGCCTGTCTCTCAGTGGATGTGTGTCTGTCCTGTCTGTCTGTGAGGCCAGCTTAGTCCTGGTCTCTCACCATGCCTCCCTCTTTTGACCCCTCAGGCCCGTACCCCGGTTGTCCTGGGCAGTGGAGGGATGGCCACTCAGCTGCTGACCGATGAGGCCCTGGTGAGTCATGCCTCTCTCTCATCATCCTTTCCAAAGACTGGAGCCCAAAGGGCTGGGCTTCTGCCCTCAGATGAGCCCCTGCCCGCCTGAGCCCCTTCCAGGGCCACATCTCCTGGGGCCTATATGCCCTGATGAGGAGGACAGTACCTATGGATGATACTGATTTTCTGTCCTACACAATCCAGGCCCAACAGCCCCTCATTCATCCCTGACACTAGCTGTAGGGTCAGTGTCGGGGACAGGGTAGCTTGAGTGGCCAGGCCTGCCCTCAGGCTCTTAAGAGACCCAGGTGGGTCCCTAGGAAGTGATGGTTAAACCTGTGATGTTGAGTGAAAAGGACCTGGGCAGGATGATGGCAGGACTTGTGGCCTTTAGAAAGGGGCAGACAGCACTAAATGTCTCTTATGAACACCCATGTGTTTGGTGAAAGTGCAAAAACATGTGGGAACAAGGTGCATGTTTAAGACAGTGGTTACCTCCTGAGAGAGGAAGGAGGATACATTTGGGTGGGGTCCCCAGGTGTCTTCAGTTCTGGCCCTGATGTTTTATATCTAGCTGGGTGATGTGTAAATATATGTATGTTTGTTGTATTTTTCTCTAAACTTTTATGCCAGAAGTATTTCATGATAAAAAACGTGTATATAAATGTTTGTTATAGAAAGTTGGCAAAATCCAGTAAACCATAGGTAAGAAAATATAATTCACCCATAGACCCTCTACCCAAAGATAACGGTGTGGATATTTGAGTATTCATTTATTTCTTCCTTCTCAGATGATTATTTTTTAGTTGACCAATTATTGGCTCTGCGATTTTAATCTCATTTTTTTTCCTATCCAACTTTATGCAATAAATATTTCCCCTTGCCTTTGAAAACTTTACAAACATCACTGTTTTGGCTGCATAATCAGTGTATCTAAATGTCCATTCAGATTCAGTATTGGTGAATTTGACTTTTTTTAGAATACTTTTTTATGCTGTAAATAATATATCATAAAGGGAAAGAAAATTCCTGATAGGTAAGGAAATGCATTATCATTATAAGATTTTTAAAAATCCAGAAAAATATAGCTAAGAAAATCAAAGTCACCCATGACCTTACCCCCAAAGACAACTATGGAATATTTGAGTGTCTTTCCTTCCTTGGATTTACATATTGTTTTGCACAGTAAGAATCACTCTGGCTAAACAATTTTTATATACTGCTTTTTCAGTGAAGATTTCATCCTGAGCATTTCTCCACATCATTAAAAAGTCCTCTGTAACATTGTTTTAATGATTACATAAAAATTTTATCTGTGGCTGTACCCTGCTTTACTTAATGTTTCTCTTGTTGGATATTTATGGGTTTCCAGTTATGCATAGCTATAAAGAATGTCACAAGGGATGTGACTGGGCATAAATCTTGCCCTGTGTTTTATATGATTTCTTTAGGAGTGATTCCTGGAAGAGGAATACTGGGTTGGATATTTTTGAGACCTTTCATAAATCATCATATTACTTTCCAAATCAGTTGTGGCCATATGTGTTCCCACAAGGGTGTCTGAGAGGTTCTCCGCTCCTTTACACTGGCTGTTGTCAGGTATTTATTCTAAACATTGGATGTAAATGATAAATGGGTATATAGATAAATGGATATAAATGACAAGTGGTATAAACGTTGAGCTTAATAGGTGACAGATGGTGTCACGTGATATCTTTCTGAGTAGCATTGTTTGTATTAGTGAGGTTCAGTTCTTAGAAAATGTTTGGTAGACATTTCTCTGGGCAGGTAAATGATACATCTTGTGCTTTACCCGTCTACAGGAATCTTAGTATTCTTAAAAATTTTAAAGAAGTGTGTGTGTATAAACATTTGTAGCAAATATTCTTCCCAGGTTTGCTTTTTGTTTCTTACTTTATGTATTTAACTGTATTTTTTCAGTACAAAAGCATTTCATGTTTTTTAGGGGCTGTCTGGTTAGCTCAGTTGGTTAGTGCTGGTAGAGTGTGGTGCTGATAACACCAAGGTCCAGGGTTTGATCCCTATATCAGCTAGCCGCCAAAAAAAAAAAAAAAAAAAAAAAGAAAAAGCATTCATATTTCTAAAATTGAATCTGTTGGTCTCTTGGAGCACTGCAGTGTCTTTCTTCATCTTTAAGCTGTGCAAGGATTTCTTTGTCCATAGGTCAGATAGCATCTGTATTTTCTTCCTGTTTACCATTTATCATTTGAATGTTAACAATGAACTTTTGAATCCACCTGGAATTTATTTTGCTGTATAAATGTATCAGTTGACTTATCCATGAGTTTTGGTTTTTCATGTCTTCATTTATTTAATATTTTTTTTTGAGATACACTTCACATAGCACAAAATATACAGTGTATTGGTTTTTGATATATTCACAGAGTTGTGCAATTATCTACACAATCAATTTCAGAACATTTTCATCATCCCCAAAAGGAATCATTAGCACTCACTCCCTTTTTCACCTATCACCCTCCAGCCTCTGGCGACTACTAATTTACTCTCTGTCTCTATAGATTTGCCAGTCCTGGACATTTCATATAAATGGAGTCATACAATATGTCGTCTTTTGGGACTAGCTCCTTTCACTTAGTAAAATGTTTATAAGGTTCATCCATATGGTACCGTGTAGAATTTCATTCATTTTCCTGGCTGAATAATATTCCATTGTATGTATATACCACATTTTATTTATCTATTCATGAGTTGATGAACATTTGGGTTGTTTTCATTTTTTGGTTATTATGGATAATGCTGCTGTGAATATTTGTGTACAAGTTTTTGCTTGAACATGTGTTTTCAGTTCTCTTGGGCATATATATAGAAATGGAATTGCTGCATCACATGGTTAACTCTGTTTAACCACTTAAGGAACTGTCAGACTGATTTCCAAGGGGATGTCTTCATTTATAATGCATCTATGATTTCTGTTTTGATTTCTTATTTTAAATACATTATTTAGAAGAATTTCTTAATTGTTTTTATTTCAACATGGTTGGGACTTTGGGTTTAAGTTTGTTTTTTTAAATCACTTCTACTGTAATTACATTCTGATTTTTTAAAAATAGAGCCTGATTTCAGCTCTTTAGAACTTTTCAGCTCCTTTGGAGGTTTTCCTTGCTGTGAAATGGTTTTTGTCACTAGACAGGAAACCAAAATAGATGAAGCACTAGAATGAGTGTCCTCGGACATATACATGCAAAGAGCTCAGGAAGGTCCTGTGCCATTGCACTTCTGTCCCCAAGATGATGGGCTTCTAGACTTTATAGACTATGTTCATTGTCTCAGCGTGTCCCTGGTACCAGCCAGGGCTTGGGGCACGAACCCTGCTCAGTGAATATTTTATTGAGCGAGTTACGTGGAGTGTACCTGAAAAAGACTTTCAGAAGGAAGAATTATATGTTAAAAACTTTAAATAAATAAATAAAGGAGGTGGGAGGGAACTTTTGGAAGTGATAGATAAGTTTGTGGCCTTGGGGCCGGCCTGTGGCTCACTCGGGAGAGTGTGGTGCTGATAACACCAAGGCCACGGGTTCGGATCCCATATAGGGATGGCTGGTTTGCTCACTGGCTGAGTGTGGTGCTGACAACACCAAGTCAAGGGTTACAGGAATCTTAGTATTCTTAAGTTTGTGGCCTTGGGGCCGGCCTGTGGCTCACTCGGGAGAGTGTGGTGCTGATAACACCAAGGCCACGGGTTCGGATCCCATATAGGGATGGCTGGTTTGCTCACTGGCTGAGTGTGGTGCTGACAACACCAAGTCAAGGGTTAAGATCCCCTTACCTGTCATCTTTTTTTAAAAAAAAAAAAAAAAGTTTTTGGCCTTGATTGTGGTAATTGTTTTACAGGTGTATATGAGTTGTATACATTAAATACGTACAGCTTTTTGTATGTCAGTCATACCTCCATAAAGTGGTTTAAATTTAAAGAAAGAAGGAATTATTAGCTGGGCTGTCTGAAGGATGTATTGGGCCAAATAATCAAATAATGAGATCATATAGTAATAATAAGTGTTACTAATAATATGTATGTATATATAAAATATCAAATTAATTAAATAATAGTTGTAGTTGACATTTATTAGCACCACACTCTCCCAAGTGAGCCATGGGCTGGCCCTTGATAGTTGACATTTATTGAGAGCTTACTCCATCCGTACCAGATGCTATGCTGGTACCATATATCTGTTGTTGAGATACACTTCACATACCACAAAATATACAATTTATTGGTTTTTGGTATATTCACAGAGTTGTGCAACTATCTATACAATCAATTTCAGAACATTTTCATCATCCCCAAAAGGAATCATGTACCCATTAGCACTCACTGCCATTTATATATATATATGAAGATGTTTCAAAAACTTCATGGAAAGATTCATATTATCTTTTAATTCTATTTTTCCTGAAACTTTTTGAAGTAGTCTCATATATCACCCCATTTAACCCATATGACAACTATGGAGGGGGACATTTGTTATTATGAAGCCCATTTCACAAATAAGGCTCAGAAAGGGAAAGACTGTTGTCCAAGGAAACACAGTCCGGGAGGGGCAGAGCCAGGATTCTCTTGCATGCTGCCTGGCTCTCGAGCCCAACTTCTTAGCCACTGCCGCATACTGCCTCCCCTTCCTCCATCAAGTGGTGGCCCCTCAGGCACAGGAGGCTGGCATGAGCCCAGGCCTTGCTGGGCGGTCGCTCTGGGGACCATGAACGGACTTGTCAACTGGGAGGGTGAACTGTGGTTAGTATCAGGGAGAGGAAGGGGCTCAGTGGGCTGGAGAGACCCAAGTACTCGTGGGCGTCAGGTACAGTAGCTGATATTGAGCACCTACTGTATGGTATGCACTACTGTTCTGAGTGTCTTATGTGGATTAACTCACTTAATCTTCCAGCCCAACTCTACTTGTTTATTCATTCATTTATTCAAGAGCCATTTACCAAACCTCTACTATATGCCAGTCATTGTTCTAAACGCTGGGGATACAGTAG